ACGCGGCTGCTGGGGCTGCTTTCCGGGCTTCTCCTCAGGCTGGAAGCCCCAGGCGCCCACATGGGACTCAGCGCCCACATGGCTGTGCCCCCCACCCTTGTGCAGACCAACGGCCAGCCCCTGCTCAGCCTGCCCGCCTCTGCTGCGGGGAGACCCCCACATCAGCTCTTGCAGGCCTGCCTACCCCACCCCACAGCCGGCACAGGGGTGCTCGGTGCTCCTGTGACCGCTCCACTCCACTCTGCCCCCGTGACGGCAGGCCCGGGCCTGCGGTCACGTGGGCACGCTGCTCCCGCTGCCCTGGCTCGTAAACACGCACTTGGCGGGGCTGTTCTGACCCCGCCTGGCTGGGTTCTGCCGCTCCTCGCCGTGCGGCCGTGGGAAAGTGACTTGGCAGCTGCATCTCCGGCCTCCTCTGTGAGGCGAGGTGAATAAGGGCATTCGCCTACTCTAAGGCATCACGGCAACCGGGCAAGCTGAGACGGAAGCCCAGGGGCCTTCCCCGTGCACGGCGTGCGATAAGCAGTAGCTGCCTGCACGCTCACACCTGCCAAGGGCAGGGCCCCCCACGCCCCCGCCATAGGTGCTGGGAGGCGCTGCAGTGACCCACACACCACCTGTCTTCCCCTCGGCCTGGCGGCCCTGCCAAGGAACACCCCTCGGCCTGCTGGGGCAGCCTCCGTGGCCAGGAGAGCCCGGGAGGGGGCAGGGCGAAGGAGCAGGCCAGGCCAGGCCCCGGAATCCGAGAGTATCATAGCTTTAAATTCCCAGCAGAAATCAGAAAATCTGATCTTGCACATCTAAGAATAGCTGTTGGTTTCGACTGTGAGAGGTGCCAAAGTGAAAGCTATAATTATTAGTAAGTAACAAGCAGAAATTAACCACCTACCGCTAAGTCATTTTTAGCTGCCATGAAGGATGAGCACTGGGAAGTGCTGGGCTTGGGAGAGGCTTGGCTGGGCTCTGAATTAGGGGCCCCGCATGTCCAGCGGCCAGCAACAAGGATCCACGCGGGGGCAGCGCTTTGGTCCCTGGAGAGACAGGCCTCTCGGTGCACCAGGGTCCAGTGCGAGGAGTCGGGTCCTGCCCAGGAGCCTGCTGAGCGGGGCTACCCCAGCCCACCCCCCCGAATGCAGGCAATGAGCCCCTTTGACTTTCCCTGTGCGATGGTGCAGATACCAGTGGCACAGAAAGGTGCTGGGACTTTTAGGAAAAGAGAACCCAGAAATGAGTAGTTGCTTTCCAAGATCATGGGAGGGCCAGATGCCACGAAGAAAAGATTGATACATGTATTATAAAAAAAAAAATGCATTTGACGTGACAAAAAAAAAAAAAAGACAAAAAACACAAGCAAACTATAAATAGGGGAAAATATAGCTCGGATCACAGATGCCAGGCAAATTACTTTGACACATAATGAATGCTTACAAATCAAAAGGAAGCCGAGGAGCTAAGAAGATAAAAGGACAGAAGTTACGAAATACCATTTTTCACCTACCAGATGGGCAAAGATCTAGGAGTTTGCTAATCTGTTGTGCTGGCAAGAGTGTGAGAAGACGGACATGCACACATCACTGGCTGGAACGTCAACAGTCAGGTGAGACAGCGAAGCCACCACACCGAGCAAAGCCGAGGCTGCGGCCTGGGGGCCCGTGGCTCCCTGCGGGGCGCTGGCTGTGGACCTTGTCCGGGGGAGGGCCCGTGACTTAGGCCTCTGCACCACAGCGTTTGTACCTTTCAACTGTGTCCCACATGCAAATACTACTCAGAAATAATCTCGAGACAATTGCCACATAGGTCCAAACGCACCAAAAAGTACAACTTCGGCCCTCCTTGGTGGCGCAGCGGGTTAAAGCACAGCACCAAGAAGTTAAAGCCACTTCAGCATGAGTTCGATCCCCGCCTGCCCTGGAGGAGATCCACATGGCGTGGCAGACCTCTCCTGACCCGCCCGCTGCTCCCCTCAGCAGTGGACTTCGTCGATCTGCCTGTTCTGCTCCCCACT